GCGATCGCAGGCCCCGCCCTGCCGCCCCGGCCCGTTTCCCTTCCCCACGGGAGTCACCTTTGCCTTACAAACGCTCGGCCCCGCCTTCTTCCTACCTTGCCGCGCTAGGCCCCGCCCCTGGCTGGCTCGACCAATAACTGGGTGGGTCTAGAGGCACTGGGCGGGCCCGCAGCCAATGCGCACGCCGTGGGCGGGCCCCCGGCCGGAATAGGGGGTGAAGCCGCCGCGTTCTGCCCACATTCGGGGCGCGGAGCTGGGGGTCCCCGGGGGGCGCCCGCACTTAAGATGGCGTCTGCAGCGGACGGGGACGTGGGAGAGGCTCTGGAGCAGATGCGGGGGCTGTGGCCCGGTGTCGAGGATCTGAGCCTTCACAAGTTGGCGACGTCCCTGGGCGCGTCGGAACAGGCGCTGCGGCTCATCATCTCCATCTTCCTGGGTAAGGACCCTCCTGCCTGCCTCTGCCCCCTCGTGGAGTCCCCGGGAAATAGGCGGAATGGGGACCGGACCTGCCTGTCTGCCCCGAACCACCCGGGAGGGCTTTGGGGTGCGGGTGTCGGTCCCCAGGCACACCAGCCAGCTATCGAGGGGAAGACACAAGTCTTGTCTCGAGTCTGGGGGCGCCGTACCTCTTGCCATTCTCTTTGGCCCGTGTTGTGTCCTTTGGCCCCTCAGTCATCTCCCGCCTTGTCATACATATGCCGGACCGTGGCCCGGCGACCTGTGTCTATCTGTGGCTCTCTAGAGTTCGACTCTGGCCGTGAGTACTGCTTATCTGTTATTTACAGCCCCCTTGGTGCGCGCTTCTTACGGCAGACATGTGCCCTCGAACTTAATGCTTTAGCCCCACGGGCCTCCTCAGCCCCCTGTTCCACACTTAGGTCGTCTCAGTCTATGTGCATTGCCAGCGTGTGTTGTACTTTAATCTCTTTTTCTGTCCTGTTTCGAGTATTTTCTCACACCGCGCTGTCTTTCCCCCCTTAGCCACCCGCCTGTCATTTATTCTGGAATATCTTCTTGTACTGGGCTTGGGAAACAGGACTATAACACCCTTAGAAACTCCATGCTTGTTCCAAGTGACTATTATTCGTAGGGTTCAAAGGATATGATGCGTCTGAGTTTATGTCACAGCAAGCTCCATCATAACTATTTTATAGGCTTTCTTTAAAGCCACATTCCTCGATGTTTTTAGTGCACAGAGGTAGCATGGCATGATGAAAAAGCATCGGCCTTGAAGTCAAAGGAATCTGACCCACCCACTGCTCACAAATGACAGGACCCCAGGCCAAGCCATGTAATCTCTACATCTAGTTTCTTGTGTGTGAAATGAGAACAGCTAGCTGTGCCTAGCATGGGATCGCTGTAAAGTCTGTAACAATTCGTAAGTCAAGATCAGAGATGACAGACTCGATTCGGTAGATTTTCAAGTAGTTGGAACTTTTGGGGGAGGCTGTACAACTTTAACTGGAGATAACATTAAGTGAAAGCTCTGGGAAAGATGGCTGGGGCAAAAGCAGAGGGTAACATCTGAACTGTAGTAAGTTTGTGATAAACTGGGTGTGGCGGCCTCTGTCTCTACGCCCCAGCACTCCGGTGCTGAGGCAAGAGAATTGTGAGTTTGAGCCTAGGCTAATGGTGTGAGGCCCTATTTAAAAAGAAGTTTGAGGTGAAATTGTGCTAGTGTGGAACGTTTTAAATTCCAGAAAGAAGTTTGGGATTTATCCAGGGTCAGTAGAGACATTGACATTCAATATCACCAGAGGGTGGGAACCCAATCTAGATAATGGCAGGAGCTTTAATTCATATTTAAACAACCACAGCCATTACCATTGTCATTTGCCTATTACATATCATACCAAGATGGTCTTTCTTTCTTCCGATAAAGGCTATCCCCTTCCTTGGTAGGATCCTAAGATTAGAGGTGGGCAGGATCTTAAGTTGCACAGTTTGCTAATACCCAAATTTATCAGCATCCCACATCTCTGGCTTTATGTACCACAGCCTGGTGACACTTTGAACCTTGCTTCCGACCTAGTTTGTTGGAGCTAAGATTGGCAATTAAGAATGCTTACACTCATTAGGTAGGAGGTCCTTTGCTGCTTTCTTGACTGTGTATTGAAAGACTAAGACAAGTAGCAACCAATCATCGGGTCAGCCTGTTAAGTGGAACGAAGAACTTAGGACTGGAAATCCATCTTTTGTGTGCTGACATCAAATACTGCCCAGTGCTGCTATGTACTGTCACAAAAATATGCTGACTGGGAAAGCATCTCTGTATCCTACCCCACTTCTTTCATCTTCTGTCATTATGACACATAACCAAAGTAATAAGTACCTGGGGCATGAGACACATTTCCAAGCCTTGTCTGTTCCGTCTGCCATTCCCAGGGCCTCCCTTCCCAACGCCCATATACTGTTTCCTTTGGTAATTTGTAGGGTTTCTCATTTTCATATCAACTCTGGGCTGGTTTTTTTCTTTGCAGTACCAGGGCCTAATGCATGCTAGGCAAGCACTGTACCACTGCACTGCATTTCCAGCCAAATTATATATGTGTCTACATAGGACGGTATTTCTAAGCTAAATGTATACGTGTAAATACAAGTTGATACGGTTGGCCTGGACATGAAGAGTATGTTTTGCCTGTAAATACATTTTCTTTATAGAGGTGTTTTTGTTTGGTTGCTTGATTGGTTGGTTTTTTGTTTGTTTGTTTGTTTGGTTTTTGTTTTTTGGAAACAGGGTTTCTTTGTGTAGCCCTAGCTATCCTGGAACTCCAGGCTGGCCTTGAACTCACAGAAGTCCTCCTGCTTCTGCCTCTCAAGTGCAGGGATTAAAGGCGTGCACCATCACCGCCAGGCCCTTGGAGAGGTATTAACCTGGAATTCCAACACTTGGGAGTAGAGGCCAGGGGTATTAGGAGTTCGTGGTCATCATTTTCTGCACAGAAAATTTGAGCCAGCCTGGGCTGCATGGGACTCTGCCTGAAAGAACTGAATGAAAACATACACAATTGGGGCTAGAGAGGTAGCTCAGAGGTTAGGAGTGCTTGCTGATCTAGAGGACTCAAGTTCAGTTCCCAGCGCCCACATCATGGGGCTCACAACTGCCTGTAACTCCAGCTCTATGGGATCTTGCACCTCTGGCCTCTGCCAGCACCTGCACTCACCTATACATACCCACACACAAGAATTCAGAATTAAAAGTAATAAAAATTAGTCTTAAACAGTGGTAAGGCTGGAGAGACAGATGGCTCAGCAGTTAAGAGCACTGGCTGCTCTTCCAGAGGACCAGGGTACAGTTCCCAGGACCAACGCGGCAGCTCACAACTGTCTGTAGCTCCAATTCCAGGGGATCCTAACCCCTACAAAGCCACAAATGCAGGCAAAATGCCAATGAATATAAAATAATGGGAAAGAATAAAAAAGCAGTGATGAGGTGCTGGGAGCAGAATTCCAGCCCAGTTTTCTTTCTCTACCTAAGCTCTGTGGTTTGAAGAGTTTTAAAACACTGGCTTTCTCATCTCCTTGCTAAAGACCTATGACGAGAAATAATACTTCCCATAGTGTGTAAATGTATTGGAAACAAGTTTCAGGAAACGGTGTTGGCCCTTACTGTCTTATTGTTCATATCATTTATGCCCCCTACATTGAACTCTGTTGATGACTTACAGAGAGCAATCTGAAAGGTCCTAATTCAGAGAAATAATTTGAGAGAGGAAGGTAGGGTGTGTTGGGAATTGAACCCAGGGCTTCACACATGCTAAGCAAGCACTCTTTCACAGGGCTGCATCCCCCAGCTTGGTTTGTTGTTGCTTTAATTTTTGCTTTTGAAACAGGGTCTTTGACTCATCTGAAGTTCACTATTCGTACCAGGCAGATCCAAACTCACTGAGACCTGCTTTCGTCTGACTAGAGTGCTGGGATTAACTATACCTGGCTCACCACTTTATAATTTTAATATTCAGTACATAAGGCAAGAGTAAGGCTGTGTGGAGTGCTGTCTTGGAGTACTTTGAACAGCGAGAAGACTACTAATACGGACATTTGTGGTTCAAGGATGCTAAAGATGAGTTTTGCCATGAGCCCTGATGCTGACAAATGCTGCTGGGAAACACCCCTCTTTGACAGATTAGGTTTCATCATTCCTTAATATAACTTACAGCATAAATTCTTCAATAAGTTCAACAAGATGTACCTACTATGGACAAATAGTGTTCTTGATGCCACAAGGGCAAGAGCAATGGGTGCCATGCGAGTAATAAAGCCATGCACGCAGACATTATGGTCTGTCAGCATAGGGAATAGGCGTGAGATCCGTGTGCTGACCCCAGTACAAGGCGGAAACCTAAGTGCTATAGGAAGTACAAAGCATTGTGAAATTTAGAGATGTAGTGTTTTATAAATAATGAGCTTTGGGTATTGAGTTAGGTTTCTTCTTTAGGCTCAGATGGTAAAATTTAGGAAGTGCAAGAGCACTTAAGAGCCTGATGCAGGATCACCACTAATTTAAGGCCAGCCTGGGCTACTGGCTGAGACTGTCTCACCAAAACAATGAAGTTGTTGCTGTTTGAATTTTGAATGGGAATACTGTGCCTGGGGCTGTAACTGGGAAGATAATGTACAAAGGTGATTTTAAAAGACAGGAGTGATAAGTGGGACTGGTGATCTGGGCCCAGATGACTTGGCAAGGTGGATCCATTGAGAGTAGAAACGAAACCTCTGAAATTTGGGGAATGCAGAACTGTTTGAAAGGTGGGTTCTGAAAGTACTTTTATCTACTTAGCTGGTGTTGCCAGAAACCAAAGACTCCACCTTGTCACCTCCCTGTCCACACCCCAGTCGCCAGTTCCTATCAGTTCGATCAATAAATTGTATCTCCAGTTCATCTTCTTCTCTCGATCACCACCCACCTGTCCTCAGAAACCGCCCACCCCCACCCAGAGCAGCCTCCCAACTACCCTCTAATTCTCTTCTCTCCAATGGCAGCCAGAGTCATCCGATCCTGTGTATCTCCTGCCCCACCCGGAACCACCATTCAGGGGCTTTCATGCCCGTGAGCCCCTGCCTGCTGCTCCAGCCTTGTTTCAAACAAGTGCACAACCTTTAGCCACGTGGCCTCTCTTCAGGTCCTCAGAGAAGGCAGTAAACCCTTCCTGCCCCTGAGCCTTTGTACACACTCTGTGCACACTGACTCTATGCCCAGGAAGCTCTTTGCACAGTTGCTCAACTTGACACACCTGTCCACCTTTCAGGTCTCACATCAAATTGTTGCTTCCTCTGAGCGTTCTTTCCCGACTGGCATTTGAAGTCATGTCCCTTTTTACATTTTCTTAAGCCGAATGAAATATCCTTCTAATCATCTATTACACTAGCTCACCACAGGGTACCCAGAGTTTATAGTGTAAGACCCGAGGAAAGCTCGGGCTTCCAGGATCTTAG